CTGACCACCTTATCTATCTCCTAAGAAATCTATATGTGGGACAGGAAGCAACCGTTAGAACTGGATATGGAACAATGGATTGGTTCAAAATTGGGAAAGGAGTATGACAAGGCTGTATATTGTCTCCCTGCTTATTTAACTTATATGCAGAATACATCATGCGAAAGGCTGGACTGAATGAATCCCAAGCCAGAATTAAGATTGCTGGAAGAAATATCAACAACCTCAGATATGCAGATGATACCACTCTGATGGTAGTAAGTGAGGAGGAATTAAAGCACTTATAATGAGGGTGAAAGAGGAGAGCGCCAAAAATGGTCTGAAGCTCAACATCAAAAAAAGTAAGATCATGGCCACTGGTCCCATCACCTCCTGGCAAATAGAAGGGAAAAACATGGATGTAATGACAGATTTTACTTTCTTGGGCTCCATGATCACTGCAGATGGGGACAGCAGCCACGAAATTAAAAGATGCCTGCTTCTTGGGAGGAAAGCGATGACAAGCCTAGACAGCATCTTAAAAAGCAGAAATATCACCTTGCCGACAAAGGTCCACATAGTCAAAGCTATGGTTTTTCCAGTAGTGATGTATTGTAGTGATGAGAGCTGGACCATAAAGAAATCTGACCGCTGAAGAATTGATGCTTTTGAATTGTGGTGCTGGAGGTAAGAGGAGAAGGGGAAGGCAGAAGGAAGGTGGTTGGACAGTGTAATCGAAGTGACCAACTTGAATTTGACCAAACTCCGGGAGGCAGTGGAAGACAGGAGGACCTGGTGTGCTGTGGTCCATGGGGTCACAAAGAGTTGGTCACTGCTTAATGACTAGACAACAAGAACTTGCAAGCAAAATGGCTTAAGGAATGCAGTCTCTGTATGTTTAAGCACCTGATTTTGTAAAATATTTTGGCTGCTTCTGATTTATGAAGAATGTTTATAGAACGCCTTCATGAGTCACCTCTCACGGCTAACCTAAATGGAAACTTCCTACAGCAATCTACATTTTCTCACTCCCGCTTTGAGCAGAAATGTACTTACTGGAGACAGCCATCCTGAGAAGAGGCAGAGTCTACATACTGCTTCAGAGCACATCGAAATTGCTCTACTTCTTCTGAAATTACTGACATCTGACGCTGAACTATCAGTATGTGCTGACAAAAAGAGTAAAACAGTATGATTTTGTGAACACTGGTTGTACTCCTGCCATTGCATTAAGTAGCATTTTATACACCAAATCTTCTAGAAATGCAGATACATAATCTGGTTGCTCTTTCTTGAATCCATCAGCATTCATTATAACAAAAAGACCAGTTAATAACTACTGCAGTGTAGTATGTTCTTGTTTAACAAGTCTATCAACCAGCTATGCAAGCCTATCAACCAGTGATGCATTCTTTTTCTCTGTTCTGCTTTTCTAGCATTTCCCCTCCACAGACAGATATAAATTAGTGGTAACTGATCAGTGCTCACTGGTCTATATGTCCATCTACCTTTGTACTTCCACAAACACTGGCATTCCTGCAAACCTGCTGATGTATCTCTCCTGCTGGCAGCTGGTGCCATTTGAACCCAGTACTCAGCCCATACATCTCTAAGAGTGGGAATGATTACCAGGTTATCTAGTGAGTGTATCAAAGCATCACACAGTTGTTGTTCAGTCTCACTCCTGAGACTTTTTATTTATTTGCAGAAACAACAATAACTAATAAAGAATAATGTTACGAAGAAGTAAAAAAGAGCTCTTATTTCATAGGCAGGACAGCAGTATGCATTAGCCCGGTTACTGCAGCCAAAGAAAGAGCAAAGTAGTAGGTAGGGATGATGCCTCATGGTGGAAGGTATTGTTTGCATACAGAAAGTTTTTGCAGTTCAATCTTGGCACCTTCAGGTTGGCCTGGGAATGACCTGTATCTGAAATCCTGGAGAGCCACTGTCCATCTGCACATGTACTAACATTGAGCTTGAAAGAATACTCTTACTCAGTATAATTAAACTTTGTTTACAGCTGCTTGTGGTGCATTCTCATTATGTTGGCTTTCTAAGGATGACAGCTTGGAAAGCCAATATAATTCCACAAACCTCTCCCAATGTTTGATTTGGTATCTGGCCACAAGCCTCTCTGTGGCTAAGTTATCA